GAAAGTATGGGGTAAGTGCAGGCCGGCAGCCGCCATGACTTGTATCGACTATAGGATGTAGGGATGAGGGGTGGTACGGTATTGGGGGGTTGGACTAATTGGATATGAGGTAATGTAAAAAGTGGATGATGATGAACACGGAGCGCAGATTGCTCTGCATAGTCCCATCGCTGACATGGCAGGCACCAGCATAAGAGCATCCCTCGATGACCTTGAAAGGAGCGCAGAAGGATGATCAGCGAAGTAGGAGAAGTCGATGATAGAGAAATTTTTGGTCTCAAGGATACCCATTCCGGTTGAACCAGTCCAGGGACTGCCCAGCAGCCTCCTCCTTCGCAGCATCCGTGTTGGGATGCCAATCAGATCGACCGGTCAAGTAGCTACCAACATGACAGAAGCATTTCCACATCTGTGCATGAGCTGGGCCATTATTCTTGTACTGGAAGTGGGCGCTCAAGTGGTACTTTTGGAGACGTTCATTGAACCGTTGTCGATGGTTGGTGACGACCTGGATTTGAGTGACCACAGACTGAGGAGACATTATTGAAGGTTTACTAGTGGTAAATAGGTCAGATAATACGGGTCAGTTATTTGGAACAACCCACTTACAAGGATCGAGGTCAAGTTCGGTGCAGCGTTGATACGTTGCTTGTGTCTCACTCCGTTTGGGGTGAGACCTTCAGGCCACACGATTGGACGAAGTTTGTTCCTCCATCGAGATGTTTTTATATAGGTACAGTCCTCAGAACGCGGAAGGTGAGAGTGGTCTAGAGCTAGACCCCCCCGGGGGGAACGTGGTCGAGAGAGCCCACTTCTGTACTGATTGAAATGTAGTGTGGCTCTCATATCATATCAGTTCAAAGAGAATGGCGTCCCTCTCAAGGGCGTTCAAGCTCGGCAGGGCTAAATGCAAAATAAGGGTTATTACGCGCTTACAACCAGGTCCATAGGCAATATAGATGCACGTTACTTACACGCGAGGCAAACTTAGATGAGAATGTTCATGTACGATGACTCGCACGTCGTTCCAAGCCCTGATCAGGGTCGTCGTACTTGATAGTGTCAACGTCGGCTAGATGAAACGTCAGTAAAGTGTTGTTGTAAATCAATTATTTTAAACACACTGCTCGTTACGATTGCGATTGCAAGCTCCGCCGATTCGACTGCGGTTTATTGTCGGCACAGTTATCCAAAGGGACCGCTGCGGGGCCGCTCGGAGGTAGGTGGCTGCATTCGGGAAGTTCCATAGTTTTGACAAAGAGCATTGTCGCGTGCGGGTTGGTTTTCGTCATGGGCTCCATCGACCCCCTCTTCAATACTAGAAGGTGAGCCTGCATAACGGGCCTCGAGCATTTCACGGGCAAAAGCTAAATCTGGTCACTCTTCTCGGCATAGCGTGGCAAAGTTGTATGACATTTCAGTGGCCTTGTGTAGGCCAGTCTAATGTACTTGTGTGCTGTGACGTTGTACAACCTTGCACGGTTCTCCGATTGACAGATGCAGCCCTAATCGTCACGACTACAACGAAATGGAGTTTCATCTCAAGGAGACGAGCCCAGGTGATGGTACGGCATCGGCCGCTCGACCATATTAGATGGGAAAGAGCAGAAGCTAAGCTTGGTTGTCGCGAGTGCCACATGGGCCCCCATAGTAGTAGCTGTCCCCAGAGGCAAATCTCCAGAAAATTCTAGGAAAGAATATAGTGGCGTGCTCTTCAACGTTATAGTTCATCAAGCCTCCTTTGGCACTCGGCAATCGCAAGAAAACGCAGGTTTAGGGTTTAGAGATTCAATCGTAGTTTATAAAGTGTTCCAATAAGTAACTGTAGAAAATACCAAACGAGTCTGTACTGGATCGGAAAAGGACTAGAATGGCTATAGTGGGGAGGGCCACACGACCCTATAATTGACTTAAAGAGCAATATTAAAGTATATCCACGCGATATTTTCGACTGAAACTCGATGATAATGTGCACGTGCAGGCAAACTTGTCGAGCGGCGGAAGAAGAGTACACTCAATAGTACCCTACGATCACATCAGCCAAAATCACAAAATAAAATCCTCGAGAAAATATTAACA